TTCTACAGTACAGTGGGCCGCGTCAAGGCCTCGTGTGGGCGAAATCCCATTTCATGGCTGCGATTGCGTGTGCAGGCATTTACGAAACCAACAGAAGAAGCACGAGAACTCAAAGCCATCGGGGGATGTGGAATGGGTCCCCTGGCCCAGGGTAATTGCCTCAGATCCGCCCTGGTACGTTTCCATTAGGGGATCACTCGGTCAAGTGGGCCAGACATTGTCATTTCCAGATTTCCCAATGTTCCGGGAACCAGGTGTAGGTTTCAAAACTCCCTCAAGCACAGACTACGCACATTCGTTAGCCCAATCCCAGAAAATGTGCCAAGTTTACGCTTCCCAGAAACCAAAATCGAACACTTTTGCAGCGAGTCTGAGGTTTCGGTTTCACTATCGGGTTTACTAATGTTTGGGTTGGAGTTTTTTAGCGGCACAAGGGTGCCATTGTAATGCAACACATCGGTCAAACAGCATGTTCCCCTACCCTGGGTTCCCTAGAATTCAGGTGGTGTTTCTTCAACTATGTGCACTTGTATAAACAGAGACTGTCTCCTACTCAAATATTAACAGCTTCTTTATTTCTCGCAGATTGTGTTTTATGGAGACTATACATGGAGGCGAATAAACGCCAGATTTATTCCTAAAAAGTAAATGAATGGCGATACTTCCGCGAAATGAACCCAAGAGTTTGCATCTTTGTGGATGTTATGGAGTGCAGAGGTGGTGCCCATTACAATAAACAGAAAAGTGCCAGCTGCAAGCCCTTAAAATCTAGTTAAACAGAGCAGTTTTCTAGAAATAAACGAAAGCTTAGGTGGGAAAATGAGCTAATTACAAACAGTATTACTATTGTTCAATACTCATTAATAAGCGTGTCTTATCAAGACATTATTTTAATTACGAAATGGACTTGCGCAACCCGCAACTACTAATTATAAAACAAACTCAATGACTAGAAAGGTAAATATAAAACACTGGCCATGTGACTAAAAAGAATTCTTCGGCATACACTGAATTTCCTGAATCACTCGATGGTTCAGCACCCACAACCAGACCAGGCAGCAAGACAACCAGACAACGGCCAGAAAAATGACAAATTAATGGGCATCCAGCGTTGGGAAAGGAAAACTGGTCTAGGCAGTTTTCTGGTTGGAATCTATAAAATCAATCACATTTCCACGAATTGCCTGCTGAGTCACACTGTTCCAGATGCACTCTCCACTCTCTCTCTCTCTATCTCTCCCCCCGATTGTTGTTGCTCTCCCGCTCAATCGGCGAGAGATCTGCAATTACAATCTGTTTTTGGTGTGGAGTGCACATGTGTGCGTGCGAAGGGGGTAGAACTCAAAAATGTGGATGCATGTTCATGTGCGTGTGCGTGTGCGTGCGAGTCCATTTTGGTGGCAATGTAATTAAAAAGAGTTGAGCAAATATTTGACGAACGTGCAGAAGCAATTAAGCCAGGAAGAAGGAGGAGAAGGAGAAGGAGAGGCCAAGGAGTCGCCGCATGCGGGTGACTTTGCTGTGGATGTGGATTTCGGTGGTGCGATTGTAAAAGGCAGGGGTGTGGGGGTGGGATGACGCACATGTGCGTAGAACGGGGCGTAGAAGCCGGCGAAAGGCAAGGGAACGGCTAAGGCGCATTTTGCAGAGTTGCCACCTTGCCTTGCCACCGCCGTTAGTGCGGAAACGGAGATAAGGCGCAAAGTGGAGACGAAGTAAACAATAATAAACGCTGTTCGGAGTCAGAGTCGCCCCAAAATAAACTGCTGTCGCTGCAATCCAACAAAATATCGGGGGATTTTCCCCCCAACTATCCCCTCTCTCCAACCCTCTGCTATCCCCCATCTGTCCACTCCCGTTGCTTTCACGAGAGACACAAAAGCGAAAACGCATTAACATTAACTGCCAAAAACAAAAACAAACACAAACAGCTCCTGCTGGCTGCGAGAGGGAGTGTGGGTGAGTGAGTGAGTGGGTGGGTGAAGAGTTGCGGGGGTGATGGCTAGCCGTTATTCCTCTTACCACGTCGACGTTTACGTCAATTTTATTTCGATTGCCGCCCGCTGCTGGCGCTCTCCTTTCTTATTTCGTTGCTTTTCGGGGCTCCTCTTTCTCCGCCACTCCGCTTTGCGTTCACTTCTCCCCAATTAACAAAAGGCACTTTTAATTATTGCTTCATTTGCCCCGCGGAATGCCACAATCTGCTTCTGCTACAGCTGCTTCTTCTTCTTCCGCCGATTCTTGTGTATATAAACAGCAACAACAACAATAACACGAACGGATATAGAGTGTAAGGAACTTAATAAACGACGCAACGCAGCGTATACTAATTGAAAGACGCGAAATCAATCAAAACAGAACAAAAAAATAAATAAAATAAATTGTTCACTTTGATTTCCACGCACGCGTTGCTTTTTTCTTGTATTTTATTGACGAATTGTCTCACATCGGTTCAGTTGCGTTCCGCAACGCTGTTACCGGCTTTTCCGCGAGTTCTCGGAACTGTCAGGCCCTCTGAACGGCCGCGATGTGCACTCGAGGAGGCAACTTGGTCAAAAAAAAAAGATGTCTCGGCTGTGGATGCTTTTAAACGGGGCTGCTTATCAACGCGTTCCACCACTGCCACCACGTTCCACCATCCACGATCTACAAAAGTCGCCAGCGACAGCGCACACTCTTTTGCTCTCCCGCTCACGCTCTCTCTCTCTCGCTACGGGACACCGTACGCAACAAACGGTTTAAATGCTCTCTCTATCTTAGCTGCACTGCAACAAACAGTGGGACTAATTCGTAATTCTTTGCATAATTTATGTTTTTATTTAAATTTAAAGCCAAAATTAAATGAATCTTGAGAACTTCTAAATTTAATAATTTCTAAATTTAATTCTATAAATTAAGCCTCTCTCTTTAGCCGACTTTGTTCAGTGTATACTGGATGTGGCAAGGTAAAAGGTATAGTTTTCCAAAAATTTGCAGTTAACCAAATTCGACACGCACCCACGGCGTAGGACTGAGGCAAGTCCTGCTGCGCATCCTTGAGGTGGCTGTGTCGTGCTGTTACATCGCACTGCGGAGTGCCGAGGATACGGAATCGGATATGGGATGTACGACAGTGCGGGCGGCACGTAATTGCAGTTAAATTTTATTGCAGTCACGTAGCGAGAGGCAGAATAAAACCTAAATTGAAATGGGAACGTAGGAGGACCCGTACTCCTGGATGCCCTTTCCAAGGTGACCATCAGGGTTAAAGCTAATATTTTTGAATATTAACCCATATATGGTCTGAACAGCTGTTTTGGGAGGAATCAGCTGAATCGAACTATTTTATTTAATTTCTTGAAATATTTGGTATTTCTTCCTTAAGAAGTAGCCCCCATCGAGTTATCCTTCGAGCTATTACCATCCTTTTTTGGACCAGCTAATCGACTTCACTTGGAGAGGGTATGCCACTAACTGAGGCAATCGCCGAGCCGCGACGCAAAAGGAAGAACCCATTCGAAGCCAGCGACCGCTGCGGCAAAAACAAAGGAGGCAACACCAACTGCGTTGCACATCGTCTTTCATCGGGAATCGTGCATTCCCCGCTCTCCCCCTCCATATATGTAAACAAACAGAGGGCTCCAGAATGATCCGAGCCATTTAGAACTTGTGCCCGGCGATGGAGAAAGTAATGGAGAAAGAGCCGAAAAGAAAGAGCCAAGAGGCCAGCAAAAAAAAGCTAGTACGCCAATTAATGTGTCGGCACTTTGTTGATGCTGCGTTGTTGTGCTTCAGATACAGATACAGATACATATATGTATGTACATTTTTTATTTTGCCACAACAGCGCAACTGGCCTAGAGATTAATCATCGCACTCTCCAAGCTCGCCTTGACTCATTTTCGAGCTCGGATCTTGAGGTCTGAGGCTGACTCCGAGTCGGAGGCCATTTGAATACTACGCAACTCTGAGCACTGAACAGTGAACTTTGTACCTGGATATCTCAAGTACGGCTTGCGGTGGATATTTCCTTAAGATTATCCCCGCCTGGCCCCGCCTCCTCAGCCCACGCGGTTAAAATCTAATTAGAAATTCAAAATACTGCACTTTAATGCACTGGAAAAAATGTTTGTAAATTTAACTTTTTTTCAATTTTATTCACCACAATTGTGGAATAAAAATAATATTATTTTATTGTTGTATCTCTAGTATTATATATAATCCTTTTACCGCCGAAGGCCTAAGATGCCAGCGATTAGATCTTAAGTAGTATGTTTTGTAAACTTTTATTTTCTTTAATAAATAAATAACAAAAATCTTTCTTTCAAATGGATCTTTGGTCCAAAATACATATGTATAGGGTTCCAACTTTATGTCGATCTGAGTTATACTTTCGGAGATAGTCGCTCATAAATCTAGCTCCATTGTAACTCCATTGTCTCAAGACCGAGACTATCTTAAGACTCGGATGACTTGATATCTCGAGAACTACCCAACCGATCTTGATGGAATTTTAGACATTGATCTACATTAAACTATTTATTTCAGGATGTTTTTTGTGTTTATTATGACTATAAAAAAAAACAATAAATTTTAGTTAGTTTTCTTCATTTTCATCTTTTGAGTTCGCAGAGTTGGCAAATGGCAGTTTGGTTTTCTTTTTGAAAATTTTAAAGTTCATTCTTTGAATGTGTATCCTTACAAAAATAAAAAACTTTAGCTTAGAAGTAATTCTTTTCTATTAAAAATATTATTAAAACTAGTATTTTTTTAACATGAGCATGACCCAATATTTTTAAAAACCAAAAAACTAAACCAAGTTTTTGTTTTCCAATAAGAAGATAATTTCAATAAATTTTCTTAAGTGTATTTTTTCGTTATTTTTCCTCTTTTTTTTTTAGATGTGGGTGCGTGTTATGAAGTATAGAGGAAATACAAGAAGAAGAAAAAGACACAAAAAGACACACACACACCAAACATAGCACTAGGGGTACTTGGGGAGTGCATGGGGAGATACTTACATTTGTTATTGTTGCTGCTTCCTCAAGGCAACTGAGAGCCTTTTGTTGTTGCTGGAGTGAGAGTTGTTGCTGATTTTGTTGTTGTTGCTGCTGTTGTTGTTGTTGGTGTTGTTGAGCCGCAAGACCACCACAATCCATAGTACAGGCCAATGAGTAGGAGTAGGGGGCGCGGGAGTGGGAGTCTTCAGTCAATTGAGAGTGCTCTCCTAGCAGGCTCGCTGCCTCGTTTCCTCCTCCCTTTCTTTGTTTGTTAGCTGCTGCGATGATCGCTTATTGCACAGAAACAGAAACAGAAAGGAAAACAGTGGGGGTAGAAGAAGTGGGGGCAGTAGCAGCAGAAACAGACGCAGATGCAGCACCAAAGTTCGGCATAATTGAAGAAATTTAAGAAATGCGATAACGATCCGTCTTGAGTTTCAACGATTCGCAGTACAAGGGACCCGTTAACCGCTATTCCGATTCCGATTTCTGTTTGTGTTCTCTCTCTTTTTTAGCTAACTCTGCACTTTGTCTTTGTGCCTTGTGCTTGGTGTCCCATGCATTTTCGCTGGAGCCCGCTGCTTCCTTGCTCTCCCGCTCTCTCGCTCGATGGAGTTGTTGTGTTGCTGTTGTTGCCTCCCCTGCTGCGTGGGCGAAATACCGAACACGATAACCGAACAGAAACCGAAGCAGGCCGAACACACAATTTGGAGTTTATGCACTCACACACATGCACTTCTTCCCTCTCGCTCGCACGCTCTTGCCCAATACGCCTACTCCAACTCCAACTCCAACTCGAATTTGAGTTCCCCCAACTGCGAATGCAAATGCGATTCGAAATTTATTGCACTTTACAGCAAGGCAGCTGCCTATTGCTGTTCCACGGCCTAATCCTTTAAATGGGTTAGCTCTGATTCCTATTTTTGCGTCACTAAGCGGCGTTAGCTCTGTTGTTGCTGCGCCGAGTGCATTGCAGTCGGGACTCCTTCCCACACACTACACACCACACACGAAAAGGAGCGGAGGAGAGGAAGGTGTTTCCTCTTGTTTGGCATCGGCGGTGAATCACCCAGAATCACAATCGACTAAATGGCACTTCATTGATCGAATGGCGGGCGAACAGAAAAAAAAGAGAACAAAACAAACGGATGCTACTATCGGGAAACTACGAAAAGTCCGTTTCGTGCGTAGATTTTCACGAAAAACGCCCCGCCCGCGCCGCACTTGGAGTAGGTTTTATTTGGAAATATATTTTCTGATATTGGCCGTTTGGTCACACTCCTTAGTGTGTGACCCTTTACCTTGTGGCTGGGAAGCACTGTTTTGAGAGCTTTGCAACACTGATGCAACTGCATCATGTTGGGTATTGTGCAGTTGGGCCAGAGTGAGAGGTCAGGTACTCGTTCTCGCTCGCACCTACTCACAGTGGTGTATTGATGTGACCACTCTTTGTGGTGGCAAACCGATAACGCGTTACTCCTCCGGACTAACCACTTGCTGAGCTAATGTAGAGTTGATTCTCAAATTTAATTTTTTTTTTTTAATATTTAAGATTTTGTAAAGAACAGCAGCCTGCGAACTAAATTTCATATTTATTTTTATTATAAACAGAATGTATATTTGGTTCATTTTTTCAATTAATTATCTTTCTACAATTTCAGAAAGAAATTAATTCAGATTTATATTTTTTATTTAAAAGAAACTATATGTAAAAATTTTCATAAAACGTTTTCTAAAAACAAGACCAAAATGAAATTCAAAGTTTAATCAACATTGAAAATAAAAGAATCGAGGTGGGTGCGCTTATTTGAAACTTGAATGAAGGACGAGAAACGGAATGTGGTGGTATTATCAAATTAGGTGTCTGGATATCATGGACAATATATAGTAAGTTGGAGATTGGATTTTCTCTAGTTTTCTGGCATAAATATAAGATATTGTAAGAAAAAGAATTATCAAAATTTTAATTAATAGTTTTCTGCATTCAAAAAATTCTTCAGTGTTACCATATCTGCCGGCCGTACTCGACTTGAGGAACCTGTTAGCTCCGCCATACATGACAACCCTGGCAGCCGGCGCCGAATCGCATCCAAAGCAAAGTTGCCGCGTTTTGTTGTTTATTACTATTTAAATTGTGAAATACAAAACGTAGCGAAATGGATGGTACGTACTTTAGTTTCCTGGGCCGCACACTCTGCCCATACTGCCTTAGAATCCTTGCACTCATCCCCAAACTGCCACTACTTGCAGGTGTAACCGAGGACATGTGGACGCCGTACAAGCATCTCTACAGCGTTTTCCAGCATGCAGTCTCGAACCCCAACGGCGTCACTTCCGAGCTGGAGCTCTACCTCAAAAAGTTCAAACAGAACTTTACCAACTTTCTGCGCAATCCGGTAAGTCTGTCCGGAACGTCCCAAAACACATAACCTTATCTGGTCCTTGGGCCTGTTGCTTGGTCTGTGGTTTCTAGCCCAAAAATGAGAAGAATCGCAACCAGCTGAGAAACGCCGCCAGCGAGGGCATCACACTGCCTGGCCAGACGCGCAAGGTGCATCTGTCCCAGGACCTCATCGACGAGGCCATCATTATATCGGACATGTTCGACCTGGACGAGGTGTTTGCGGTGGAGTTGCTCTGCACCGCGCAGCGTCAGCAGTTGCACCATCCCGGTTTGCCAAGAGGATTGGTTGCGGTGCTGCTTTACTACGACGGCCGCAAGGCCATCAGCTGTGCGCTGCGTGACATGTTCCAGGCGGTGAGCGGCGTGTCCTGGAGCACAGAATTGCCCAGAGAGGTGAGCCCATCAAGATTTCATGTTTGTGGGTGACTTACGATCGTTTTTCGTCCTTAGATAACCTACCTGGTCACAAACTATGCCCAGAATCTGGTGGAAGACACAAATATTCTAGGCCGTCTGCTGGAGTTGCTCGACGAGATGGATCTGGACAAGGAGGTGGGTCATCCCCTTTAGAAACTCATTTCCCTTACACATTCATGTCCCTTATTCCCTTGCAGTGCTTGATGTTGACCAAGAACCGCGCCTTCGGCTCGAAGAAGCACCAGAACCAGGTCTTGGGCATGTACGAGGACATCCAGCGGGCCCTGGCTATGGCCCTGTTCCACTGGTCGGCCCAACGTGGCCTGCCGCGCCCCGTCGCCATCCGGCTGATGCAGATCCTGGCATCAAGAAAGACTATCGACGCTTCCGGCAAGCCGGACGACGTCACACTGATCATGCTTATGGCTCTGCTGTACGCCTACGACACCTCCGTGCTGCTCATCACAGAGTCCAACAACCTGCACACCGCCCGCCTGCCCATCCTCAGCGACCCGGACTATGCGAAGGGCTTCCTGGACGCCCTATACTCCCAGGGCACATGGGAAATTCCGCGGCTGGACGCGGTGATCAAGTACAGCTTCGGCTTGACGCTGGCCAGCCTGCGGCACGCCCCCAGTCAGTTACAGGCCGCCGCACTGGCCTCCATCAGCCGGGACGAGATTCTGATCAACGAGGCCTTGGCCGCCAACGTGTTCGGCTTCTTCTACCGCCAGCTGCTGGAGAAGGACGTGGTCTACTCGTAGGTATCCGTTTCTGGGCAAGAAGCAACCATCCTAATCTTGGGCCTTATCTTTCCCTAGGACGGAGTTCATCTACCGCCGCATGCACCTCCTCATCACGGACTTTATTGACTACATGCACGGAAAGGTGTCAGAGCTGCGTGGAAGGGCGGACGAGGCCGCGAGAATGGTGGTGAGCTTCGCAAACGAGGGCCTGGAGCCGCCGCCCAACATAGACTCCAACTTCGAGCTGCTCATGCTGTGCGTGGCCAAGCTGTACGGCGATCCGCGCGTGACCATCCGCCTCTGCGACGAGTACTGGGGCCCCTGCGACCCGACCGGAACCGGGTTCGGGGTCCTGGCGGCGACTCCCACGCCGAACTCTTCGCGCTCCGTCTCGCTCTTCAAGTTCATCAGCCTGGCCAGCGAGCTGCTGCCGCAAACGCTCTTTAAGTCGTACTTGAAGATGATCACCGGACTGACGCGCACAGAGTTTGCTGCCCGCTGTGCCTTCAATCTCCTGAAGAACTGCCAGGCAGTGACCTCCTCCTACACCGTCAGCTGGGACCACTTCTTCTCGGCCCTAGCCAACTACTACAAGTAAGTTCAAAGGATGCCTTTATTCTTCTCTGTGACTGATCCTTGCTCTTTCCAGCAACATGCGCAATGACTTCAATACCAACATCAGTGCCGCCGGGGACACGATCTACAGGAGCCGCACGCTGCCCAGGGTCATGACCCAGCGCGAGACGGAGCACATGGTGGCCGTGATGGGCATTGTGCGGGCGGTGGCCGAGTACGACGAGATCTCCAGGCTGATGATCTGCGAGCAGGTCACCTGGCAGCCCACCCAGGTCCTGCTCGGTCTGGTGGCCTGCTCCACGCCCCTGGTACTCAAGGCCGAGATCCTGTTCACCTTGTCGGCGCTGGCCAAGTCACGGGAGACGGCCCGCGCCATTTGGATGAACCTGGAGGACTCGCAGATCATAGCCACCGTGCCGGCGTCCAGTTCCTTCGGCCAGTGCAGCCTGGCGGAGGAGATCGAGCAGAACGAGAGCCGCCTGGAGCAGTACCAGCTGACCCGTGGCCTCCTGCAGCTCCTCTACAACTTGATGACCAGCAACATGCCCCGCAACTTGGGCATGGGCTCCCGCAAGCCCGGCTACGACGCGTATCTCAACTTCGTGGTGGAGACCATCCTGCTGAAGTTCTACAACCGGGCCTACAAGGATCCGGCCGAGAAGTGGAAAGTGGGTGCCCAGTGCCTCAAGCTGCTCTACTTCCTGCTGGCCACCTATCGCCCCCGCTCCTCGGACTTCCAGGAGGCCCGCGACGAGAACCCCTACCCGGGCTACCACGTCATGCTGCAGCTGCAGTTGAAGTCGGAGGTGCTGCGCCTGCTCCTGCGCATCATAGAGGAGGCACGCGAGCGCCTGGACGACTACAACCGCTTCCACGGAAAGGAGATGCTGGAGGAGTGCTCGCTCTATGCCTTGCTGCTACTCGAGGCTGGACTGTCCAAGCAGAACGCCTTCTTTGAGGCCCACTCCGCGGGCAACTCCCCCATCCTGCTTTCCGGGCTCAACCGCATGCTGCTTGACCTGAACCCGCGTAGCCGGCGGCCCGACCACGTCCTGAACATCGTCAAGTACGTCACCTACAACAGCTGGTTGCCGCGGCACGCCCTCGCCGCGGTCAAGATCCTTTCGGCAGTCACCCAGCTGCCACACGTCAGTGCCCAGATCCTGAGCATGTACGCGAACGGCAGCAACGAGAAGCTGGAGATCCGCCAGGGCTTCGTCGAGTGCCTGGAGATGGACGCGCGAGTCGCCCAGCAGAACGACGAGCTGCTGGAGCAGCTGGCCCTCAACGACCACGTGCCGTTCCTGGGCTTCGGCGAGGACTACGACAGGGAGCGGGAGCGCAACAAGGACCGCGATGACTCCTTGGAGAGCAGGATGTCCCTGAGCAAGCTGTGCCAACCGGAGGAAGACCTCCTCTTGGAGGCACGGCCGGCCAGCATAGAGTTGCAGCTGAAGGAGGCCATCGTGAAGCTGTTCTCCATGAATCTCAGCCAGCCGCTGCCCAACTTCGTGTACTTCCTGCTGGGCGTGGACGTGCTCCGCGACTTCATGGCCAACGACAAGCAGCACCTGGGCATCGAGATGCACTGCTCCTGCGTGAACTCGCTGGTTCTGCTCCTGGAGAAGTATCTGGAGGTGAGTCCCGTCTGAGAGCACACTGGATAGGTTCTACATGCTCCCTTCTCTTTCAGCAACAACGCCACAGCGAGGAGTACTGCGAGCACACGGCCCACGTGGTGGAGCGCATCTACCACCTGTTTCACGGGCTGTGCGCCAACCGCCGGACCTCGGAGACGGTGCTCCGTTACTTCCGACTGACCTGCAACGACTTCCTGCTGCGCCACCTCACGGCCCTGCCCTTCCGGCAGCACGGCAAGGACGATGTCTTGCACACCATGGCCCACCTCCTGAACTGCGTCGCTATCGAGGTGAAGCTGGCGGCGACCCACGGCCAGACCACGCGCTACAGCCTCATGTGCGACATCCTGCTCCTGGGCTCGGGAGCCGACGGGCAGCGTCCGCCCCACGGCGTGCCCATCGAGATTTCGGCTCCCAGCTACTTCGCGATGGACTTAATGCCGGGTGGCGCCATAATCGGCACCGGAGCCGCCCCGGCCGTCGCCCAGGCCTCGGGCGCCGCCAGTCAGAAGGCGCCGGGCATCGTCCTCCAGGACCAGTCCATGGGCCTGCATGCCAACCGGCTGCTCGACGTCCTCGTCCTCGAGTCGCACTCGGTTAACCAGCCCCAGCTGGAGTTCTTCGACTTCCAGCTGATGGAGTGCCTGCTGCGGGACTGCGAGGGCAAACCCACGCCCGGGGCGGACAACTCGCCGGCCAAGCTGATTAACATCCGGAAGCTGCACGACATCCTGCTCGACGAGCTGCGCATCGTCCAGAGCACCATTGTGAGTGGGCAGCGCAAGGCGATCATGGCCGAGATCATGGAGCTGCTGCAGCACGCTGTCCAGATCAACCGCGTCCGCAAGCAGCGCTGCGCCACCCTGGCCTTCATGGAGGCTTGGTGCCTGATGATCCAGGTCCTGTTCAGCAGCATGCCCGAGGCGGTGTTGTCCGTCTCCCTGCGCCGCCAGCACATCATCGACATCATCGAGAAGATGCTGCTCAAGGTGGATCCCATCCAGCCGATCATCGAGGTCAGCATCCAGGTGAGCGAGACGGTGCTCCTGCTGCTGGCCAACCTGCGCTACTGCTGCTACCAGATGGAGGACCACCGCTGCGACGATCCCACAAACGATCCCCTCTCCCTCGTCACGAACGGCAATGCCAACGGCGGCGACTCGCAGGCCTCCAAGCTGAGTCTATCTCGCTCCAACGGCTACCCCGGCGGCGTCACCAACGGCACCGAGCCCAGCGCCAGCGTCAGCAACCTGCGCTTCATCCTCAAGCGCCTCGTGGAGTGGATCATGGTCAGCGAGGTCAAGTCCCAGAAGCTGCGCATCAACCTCTACAGTGCGCTGCTCAACTGCCTGCGCATCGCCAAGCGCCTGCGCAGCGATGAGCAGCAGGAGTACAACGAGAGGTGGGTCCAGAGAATAATCCACCTTGCCAATTATAATCCTAACACTTCCGTAATCCCCCAGACCCTCCACCAATTCGCTCCGCATGGACCCCAGCAAGAGCGGCACCCACATCGATCAGCGCTTAGACGACCGCCAGAGACTCAAGGAGATGGCCAGCGACGTGATCGGTACCTTCGGAGAGAAGCTCATCGACACCATCTGCCACGACGCCGTGACCGGACACGACGTCTGTCGCATGCTGGCCCTGGCCTGTCTGGACATGATCTCCGAGCTGCAAGCCGTGTCCACGCTGACCGACTTTGTGGCCATGCGGGGCTACCTGAAGCACCTGTTGGACAGCCTGGACAAGTCGAGCGAGGCGCTGTGCGGAATCCTGCAGCCGGTGCCGGACAACCTGCGCCCGCTCTACATCTACGAGTCCCGGATGGCGTTCCTCACGCGCATGGCGAACACGAGCCTGGGCGCCCGCCTCGTCCTCAGCGACCGGGCGCTGGGGGTGCTCTCCAATATGCGGGTCTTTGACCTTCAGCCGGACCTCAAGGCCAGCGAGCTGCGCCGCAACGATCCCCAGACCTTCCTGCCGGCCATCGACGCCCGCTTCCGGGCCATTCTGCTGCCGGCCCTGAACCTCTGCGACGCGATCATCAACTCCCTGGGATCGCGAAACATGTCCGCCTCCACGCAGGTGCTCAACTTCCTTTTCGCCCACATCGACATGGTGGAGGCGATGTTGCGCACGGCCACGCCCTTTATGGACCTAGGCCACCTGCAGCAGCTGGCGGCCATGACGAACCTGTTCGCACGCACCACCACCCACGAGGTGACCACCGTGGAGGACACTCTCGACGTGGAGAACGACCTGGAGCTGCGCCAGCGTCTAGGCCGCCTGCAGCAGCTGATGATCGTGGTCTTTGGCAGGTTCTGCGTCAGCGAGGCCACCATCCGCCGCATGGTGCAGCAGGAGCACCACGAGGCCTCCGAGTCCACCAAGAGCCTGCACGTCAAGTACTTCCTGGACATTGCCGCCAACCTTTCGCTCTACTGCCGCAACGCGGTCACTAGCCACATCAGGGACAGCAACACCTCCAAGTATCTGCTGACCACCATGATCCAGGATGTGACGCCACTGTGAGTGCAAGAATACAAGCCCTTGAAGGGCCCTTTTGACGAGTCTGGTCTTGAATCTTTTCAGAACTGGAAAAACGGACGGCAAGAAGCTCACCGCCATCATGCACACGATCCTAAACCAGCTCAAGGGAGCCGTCGGCTACTACCTCTCGCAGAAGTCCTTGGCGGACAACCTGCTGCAGCAGCGTGCCTCCCTGCCCAACCTGACTTTCGGTCCCAACGGTAAGCGAGCATCCCAGCCATTAATGGCCATTGTGACATTCTTCTCTATCTCCGCAGGCAAACAAAGCTTCCTGGAGCTTAGCCAGCGCCACAATGAAAAGCGCTCCGAGCTTATGCAAGCCGTCTTCATTGCGGAGCAGAACCTGTACCTCCTGTGGATCCACCTGGACTTCTACCTGCGCAACGCCGTGGTATACGCTAACGAGAACCGCAACTCCATCAACGAGAGCAACCTGGACGGCGGCAACAACGTGTCCGTGCTGAACGCCTCCCACGACGAGATCGTCACCCTGAAACAGATGCTCATCTCCACCTTCAACGAGACCTTCTGCACCCAGCTGATCACCGCCAGCGAGGCCTACGCCCCCAAGTGCAGTGGCTTCAACTCCTCCCTGCTGCGCCGCATCAAGGCCCTCGTCCAGTTCGCTCCAGTCAACGGTTCCTTAGGCGGGGATACCCAAACCTCCTTCATGTAGTCCTTCTTCGTTGTATTCCCAGGCGCTGTTAGGTTCCGAAAGGGTTCATTTCCATTTTCCGCTTCGCTGAAGCGTTATGTTTAGTTTTTTTTTAAAGATTCAATAAAAGTGTGTTGATTTATTACCCAAGAGTTTTAAAATTGAGGGAATATTGGACTAATATTTACAAATTTTTTATTTTTAACAAAACTAGGAATGCTCGGAACTGAAAAGTTAACCTCGGAATTGGCATATTTGGTAAGGATGTTTTTTTTTAAATATACTATATATATGTATTCTCGATCAGAATCACCTCCTGAATGTTTCCGTCTGTGGGTCTGTTTCTCCAGAAACTACTCTCTCAGTTTTAAAGCTGTCGACTTAAAACTAGCGATCTGCATGAAAACACTCTTAGTTCCTCAGCCACAAAATACATGCGAATGGAATAAAATTAATAAATGCAATAGAGTCTAGAGAGAATAAACACTACAAATTAAGGGAATCCGAGTGGCACAGTATCATTCCCATTCCCACTGGAAGCACATAGAGGCTTTCGGAGTGGCGGATGCAGCCGAATTACTCGAATTGTTTCTGAAACCCTCTATTTGTTCGTTTATTTCCTTTAAGGGGTTATATACCTTCTTTGTCGAAGAAAATGAGCAAATTTTTTTTTTTTTTAGGTATGTAGCAATTATTTAATTACACGGATGTTTTAATTTTTTGATAGTACACTTTATTAACAATGTTTGTGCAAAATTTGGTGGAAAAATATTAAATAGTTTTTAAGGGGTGGCTGTTTCCCTTAGAGGCCTTTTTTTTTTAGAGCCTTGCGGTGACAGTTCCCCAGGTCAAACAGGTCAACTTAAACCATAAAAGTAAAAATATTTCATTAGTTTAGAGTAATCTCTTGTGCTTGAACGATTGATTTTAAAATTTTTTGTTTTTGTTTGGATATTAGCGTTTTTAGCGTTTTATGCTAAAAATGAACGTTTTGGTCTCTAAAAATTTCACTAAAAAATTTATTTCGCCGAAAAAAAAGTTTGCGCGTGAAAAGTCGATCGTTCAAGCACAAGAGAATTTCATTACGAACATATTAAAAAAATTTGAAGTAAATCGGTTCAGTAGTTTTCCGCCAATCCATGTCACCGCAAAGTCATTTTTCAAGAAACACCATTTCGAGATATTCGCGTTTAAAGTTTCAAGATCAGTTCAAGGCCGCAACGAGGCGTGCGATTAGGAGCGCTGTAACTTTTTTTCTACTGCTCCAATCTCTATGAAAATTTGGGAGAATGTTCTCAAGGAGTTGTTCCTTAAGATAAACCACTAAAAAAATTTTCGTTTTTTTGAAAATAAAAAAGGTATATAACCCCTTAATGGCAAAAAGGTATAATTCGTTTAAGTTTCTTATTTTTAAATTGGCTTGTATTTCTTAAATTAATATTTTTGGTGACTTAAGCAACTGCCAAATAGCTACGCAAGTGCTAAGCAAATAGCTCAAAAAAGACTCTTTCCAATACATTATCTTTTTTTTAAGTTTAGTAGAGGAGATTTGTCGAGTTTTATTACTATGTTGTCAATAAAAACAAGGTCTTCGTACCGAAAGCTAGTGCTGAGCTTGTAGTTTCTGACTATCCTGGCCAAGGCGATCTTTAAAGATATTTGGGCGTATCTCCAGCCTGAAAATAGTGAATTAAAGCCAGTTGAAAATATAAAACTAAACAAATAACGAACCTATGCAATATCTAGCTCCTTTTAAATAGGGTATGAAGGCGTAAGGATGTCGTTGGCGAACATTATCTGTCAAAAAACGATCAGGATCGAAGGTGTCGGCGTCATGGCCCCAAAGGTCCCTGTTCCGGTGTAAGTTAAATGTATCTATACCCAATATGACTCCTTTGGGCACTAAGACTCCATTTGATAAGCGAAAATCCTCCTTTGCTTCTCTGGTACTTATTGGAATGGCGGGAAAAAGACGCAAGGTTTCGTTTAAAACGCGATCTAGATATACCAACTTCTGGACATCCTCATACTCCACTTCGAAATCTCCACCATCCGGAAAAACTTCTTTCAGCTCCTCGAACACAAGTTCCTGGTAATGGGGAAACATGGCCAGAAGAATGAGTGTGTGGTTGACTGTCAGAGCTGTGGTCTCGAAAGCCGCTAGGACCATGTTGCAGGACTCTCCCTTGACTTCCTCCAAAGATATTTCGCCTTTCCGATAAAGCTCCATGACTCTGTTGATGACAATGTCCGACGACACATCCGTACTGCTCTCCGATGGAGAATTTAATTTTGATTCAATAATCTAAAAACAAAGTTTGAATTAGGCTGGTAGTTTTTTATTCGATAACTTACTCTATTCATAAAAACATCAATTTTTGAAAACAACTGTGTTGTTTTACTTTCCACTCCAAAAAGTGTACTTATTCTTTTATTACGAAAAACAGGTATGAAAACTTTCAATAGGATGAAAAACGAGATCCTATAAAATAAGGTTGTAATAAATTTTAATTATGAATTTTTGAAAATTTCTTACGAATTCCAAGGCTCATTGAGGGTATTGTTTTTACAATTTGTTTCACCTTTAACATCAGCGCCCAATACAGTTTCTAAATAAAGAGTTATTCAGCAGGAAATTATATTAAAATATTTACTGATACGACTTACGATGAGAAATACTGAACGACCACCGGTATAAAAATGGCAAAAGATCAGTCTCTCCAACAAAAGTGTCCATTTGCGTTAACAAAGTTTTCGTCTCAGAATTAAAAATGGGAAGAAAACTCAGCAGGACATATTGCCTAAAACTGGGGTTCATATGTTTTCGTCGATTCGCCCATGCAGTGTCTGAATCATCCGATCAATAAATGTCAAAAATATTTAGGAAACCGGCACATTATCGCAAACCTTGAAGTGTCATAAGTCCCTGTCCATAGATATTTTCCATAGCCTTCGTCAACCGCGAAATTCTGTTAATGCACTGCGGTGCCGTAAGCACATCTTCAGCGATTTTGGCATCTCGGGAAACAATAATTGGTCGAATACCAATCCACGCCAGTACTGTTGAGCCATACTTGTCCATATACTTGGTTCTCTGATTCATATTCACTAAATGTAAGAAAGGTTAACGTAGTGTGGACAAACGGATGTGCACATTTTTCGTACGATTATTTATAAAATATTCGGGTACTGAACCGAAAAGGGGCAGTCCTAAAGGTCCTGGTATCTGAAGGATTAGCTTGTAAAACTTTCGCCGACTCCATAGGAAATGTATTAGAACTAATAACCCAGCAAAACACAAAACAAGAAGCATGATGCTAAAGTGGGTATTTAATGACTTCTTAACACCTCAGATATGTTTTGGTTACTAAACTTCTGAATGTTTCAGTCGGGCTTTAATAAAAAAAACACAAGAAAAGAAAATTAACTTTGGACAGAGCCGAAGTTGATATACCCTTGCAGTTAAGTGGCAGTTATTGTTACGAGATACATATCGGATAGGGTATATATCGCAAATATCCAATATAGTTGGCCGATCCCAATGGGAATTTAATTATGAAAACCATTTTTTATAACATGATCTTGGAAAGTATGAAGCAACTAACTTTAAACACACCAAAGATCCTAAGAGATTAATTTTCGTAGAAACAGACAGACAGATATGCATAATACTTTTGACCAAAAATAGGTAAGCTAGGGGCCTTCAAGGTTTATTTACAACCATGACCTCCATATTTTTATTAATTTATTTTTGCATTAAAATGCATCGTACGCTTTTTACATCGAGATCGTAATCATTATAAACTTAATCCAACAACAGTTTGGCTAAGTTTTAATTTAAACCAGTTTTTTTTTTGTTTGACATTTAAAGTGATAATGAAAATTAGTAAAAGCTAAAATACTATAGGTTTGTTTGGTCAGTATCATCCCTTGAGTCGATATACATAATTTTAAAGTTTCAAGTGTAAACTTTTATGCGAAACAAACTAACACTTTAAATACAAATTTTTCAATTTATTTTTTCTTTGAGTTGTTTAAATTTAGCTTTAAAAATTAAACTAAGTAAGAAGTATCTTCATCACTACATATGTGCATACTTATATTATCCATAAGAGTTAAGTTTTCATTCTGAAAAATTGTGCCAAAATTAAAATTTCTGATAATCCTGGACAATACGATCGTTTAAGATATTTGGAAAAATATCCAGCCTGTGAAAAAAAAATGAAAATGAAATTTTAATGAATAATTAACACGCAACGAACCTATGAAGTTTCCAGGTTCCTTTGAAAGCGTAAGGATGGCGTTGGCCAACATTATCATGAGTGTATGATTGAGCGTTAGCTATGGTCTCGAAAATTGTTAAAACCACGTTACAGGACTCTTCCTTGACTTCCTCTTCCATCAACAGATATGACAATTTTCGACGGTAAATCCGTATTACAATTCAAATCCAAATTTAGTTTTGAGTCAATAATCTAGTTTGAAAATATTTCGATACTATTTGGTCGCCGATTTGCCATTTGATAACATTTGATTGCCATTTTATTTTAAAACTAAAAAGACGCAATAACACTTGTAATTTTGAATATATGGTAATAAAATTTGTGTCTCGAATTCTATGACTCAATTAGGTTATCGCTTTACAAATTTGTTTCATCTGTAATAGAGTTAATTAATTATTAAGCAAGGAATTAAAATATATTAATCCTCGATATTGGGATCTCGGGAAACTATAATTGGTTTAATACCAACCCAAAACTGTTGAGCCATCATTGTCCATAAACTTGGCTTCTCTGATTCATATTCACTAAGTGTGAGGAAGGTTAGTTACTGATGAACGGTGTAACGAACTGGTTTTCTGCTTCCGCTCCGTGGCTAGCTCACAGAGTTTGTGGGTCTGTTCCACCCAATTTATGGTTTGACGTGATTTCCCAACTCTTTATTTAGAGGCTTTACCCAAAATACAATAGGTTGATCTCAATACCAGGTTCCGCTCCGTAGTCTGGCCGCTCCTCCTGGCTCGGCCCGGCTCCGTCGTCGGCGTCTTCTGTTGGTTGTCCCGGGTGTCCCGGTCGCCGCCGCTGCTACTCCTCGTGCTGCGTTGCCTGCGACTCCCCTAACCGTCGCCCTTTAGCTGACCACACGCGGACCTTCCTACCTCCCTTGGGTCGTCTGCGACTGATCAAAAGATTGGCAGCGCTCTTCCGCTCCACTACTCCAGGGATCCACCGCGCATACGCAATAGCGGGCCGGGATTGGAAGTTGGCTGCGGACTATCGCCCCCGCTACACCTGGACACCGCGCATACGCGCTAGGGTGCTCTCAACTGGTCTCTGATTTGAGCGTGAGTTCGCGAGTCGGCCTATCCTTGTTTTGCAGGACCACGCTGGTTGCGATTTCGGGAGTCAGTAAGGAATGGCCCAACTCGAGTCCGATTACCTGGGCTTCTATAGGAACCGTCCTGCAACGGATCCTTTTCTTGCCTTTGGCTGTTGGACTCTCCAAAGGCGGACTCTCCAACCCCCCTTCCTTGACTTTGCCCCATGCCACCTGTATTGGCGTGTGGGGAGACTAAATTCCCCCCTTCATTATAAAATATTCAGGTACTAGGCCGAGAAAAAAAAATCCTAACGGTCCCGGTATCTGTAAGATTGTAATACCTTCTCGGAGCCATAAGAAATACATAAGAACTATTAATCCAGTTTCGGGAAATAATCAACCCTGTTTTGGTTACTTCGCTTAAGGGGGGGGTATGGTTAATTCGGCCAAAAAAAGACCTATTTTCATGAATTTTTTCACACGATACGGTTAATGTCAGATCAATTATTTTATTAGTATATCAAAGTACAACTTTTAAACTATGTTTTCAGAAATTTTCATCGAAAAAAATAAAAAAATGAGCCGTCTGCTGCCAAGCTCCGTAGGCGCCTCCAAGAAAACAGGTTTTGCGGTGAACAGCATAAGTCGTTACTGGATCATCAGAAAAAGAAAAAAAAAAAATGTCCATTAATTAAGATGTTTCTAAAGGTAACTACGCCGAGTTTTTTTTTTTTTTTTAATTTTTGGATTTTTGGTAACACTTTGAAGTCAAAAACGTGATTTTAGCCTAAAAATTGATATATTAGTTATTATAAAATGAATAATAATCAATATAAAAAAAAAAACTCGACGTCAGTACCTGCGGATTTAGGTACAGAAATAATGTGCAAAATTTCAGAATGATCGGTACATTAGATTTCGAAGGATACTGTTCACCGACTCAAAAGAACATACTTTTCAGGAGAACGATTTAAAGTTAGAGAGGTATAGAGACCGGCCGGGACCGCCCGCCGTTCAAATGGTCATATCTTTTTTTATTTTCGTCCGATTGACATGAAATTTTAACACAACATTCTTGACGTGTTGTACATTAATAAAAAAAAATAAAAAAAAAAGCGAAAAAAAAAAATTAAAATACCATACCCCCCCCTTAAGACAATAGTTCAGTAAAGCTCTTAATAACAGTACTCATATAGAGGGCCATCACGGTTTGACCTCCTAATTATCAAGGTTTTACCTCCTAGCTTTTCACATTAAATACGCCTAACGTAATGCAAAAAAATTAGACTTTCTTACCAAAAAACAAGAAAGGAAAGCTAAGTTCCGGCGGAGCCGATACCCTTGCAGTTAAACCCGGATATATATCGCAAACATCGGATATAGTTGGCCGATCCTTATGAGAATATGATAATATAACCCAATTTATAATAATACAAAATTTAAAACAAGTCCCAAACTTCTATCTTTATAAATACCAAAGTTGATATTTCTACCAAAAACCATTTCCGATCGTTCAGGCACCTATAGGATATAGTCGGCCGATCCTCATGAAATTTGGCATGTCATATTATTTTGTATAATTTAGTATTTTAGTATTATATCAACTGAGGAGGTGATCCTGATCAAGAATATGTATACACTTTATAGGGTCGAAGATGTCTTCTTAAGATTTTTAAGTTAAAGTTTTTAAGTTAAGTTAAGTTAAAGTTTTTAAGTTTATTTTTAATAATTAAAATAAAAACTAATACATATTTTTCGGGCCTGCTTAAGTGCAACATCTGAGAATCGAGGAAAAGAGCGCTATTTCTTAATAAATTAATTATTTTTAAATATTTTATTGAATAGTTTACCAATTAGAGAATCTTCTGGAATGTTAAATACATCAAAAACATATATTCCTTTAGAAATTATAAAAGAGTTAGGTTTTTAGGCAAGCTTTGTAAGCTTCTATAGCCTGGCAACTAGATGCCGCCTTATACATTTCAGTTATTTAGCAGTTATGACAATAAAGAAAAAAAGTAATGCGAAGCTATCTTCGGGCGACGACGAAGTTGATTTGTATTCCATTTTGTTCAATTTAATTTTTGAAGATTGTTTTTGAAACCGGACTAAGTGGTCCTTCTATTAAAATTAAGTAGTGGACCTTTATCCAGTTTAATTACTACATTATCGAGAAAAGACAGGTCTTCATACCAAAAACTAGTTCTCAAACTGTAATTTCTGACAATTTTGGCCAAGGCGATCTTTAAAGATATTTGGGCGTATCTCCAACCTGAAAATAAATTATAAGGGTTGAGGAAATATGAAATTTTAAACAATTGACAAACCTATGCAATTTCTTTTTCCCTTTGAGTAGGGTATGAAGGCGTAGGGATGTCTTTGGCGAATATTATCAGGCAAAAAACGATCAGGATCGAAGGCGTCGGCGTTATGGCCCCAAAGGTCCCTGTTTCGGTGTATGTTAAATATATCTATACCCATTATAACTCCCTTGGGAACTAAGACTCCATTTGAAAGACGAAGGTCTTCCTTTACATCTCTTAAGCTTATTGGGACGGCGGGAAGTAGACGCAAGGTTTCGTTTAAAACTCGATCTAGATATACCAATTTCTGGAGGTCCTCATACTCCACTTCGAAATCTCCGCCAGCCGGAAAGACTTCTTTCAGCTCCTCGAAGACAAGTTCCTGGTGATGAGGAAACATGGCCAGAAGAATGAGTGTGTGGTTGACTGTCAGAGCTGTGGTCTCGAAGGCACCTAAAATCATGCCACTGGCCTCTCCCTTGACTTCTTCTAAGGTTATTTCGCCCTTCCGATAAAGTTCCTTGACTCTGTTGATGACTATGTTCGACGATAAAACCGTACTGCTTTCCGATTCCAAATTTAATTTAGAGTCAATATTCTAGATTAAAATGATGGATATTGTTTGGATTAGGTGTCTTATTTTCCATTTGATTACTTACTTCATTCATAAAGACATGAATCTTTGAGAACAGCTGTGTTATTTTCTTTTCCACACCAAAAAATTTGGAAACTCTGTTATTGCGAAAAATAGGCAAAAACACTTTAAGCACGAGGAAAAACACGAGCCTAGGAAAGTATGTTATTAAAAATTTTAAAATTAAATATATGAGACTTGTTTTCTTACGAATTACAAGACTCAATAAGGGTGTTGTTCTTAAAATTTGGATCATCGTTCACATCAGTACCCATTGTTGTTTCTAGAGTTAATGGAAAGAGTCAAATAGTACGCTATGAGTCAGTGTGCTCTGGTGGAACTTACGATGAGCTATACTGAATGACCACCTGTATAAATTCGGCAAAAGGTCAGTATCACCTTGACCCGCGAAAGTGTCCATTTGTGCTAGCAATGTTTTCGTCTCGGAATTAAAAACGGGAATAAAACTGAGCAAAACATTTTGCCTGAAACTGACATTCATGTGTTTTCGGCGTTCAGTCCAGGCAGAGTCTAAATAATTTTTATAATTTAATTATTACTTGGAAATAGTTGAGAATCAGACACATTCAGACCTTCAAGTGTTAGAGTGCCCTGTCCAAACATATTTTCCATAGCCTTTGTTAGCCGTGAACTTCTGTTAAGGCACTGCGGTGATGTAAGCATATCTTCAGCGATCGTGGGATCTCGGGAAAGTATAATTGGTTGAATACCAATCCAAGTCAGTACTGTCGAGCCATACTTGTCCATAAACTTGGTTCTTTGATTTATATTCACTAAACGTAAGAACGGTTAATCAGTTATTGCATTTATGTGGATATTTTCTTACGCTTATTTATGTAATATTCAAGAACTATGCCAAGGAGTGGCAGGCCTAAAGGTCCGGGTATCTGAACCATTAGTTTATAAAACCTCCGCCGACTCCATAAAAAATAAAAGAACACCAACAATCCACCAAAAACCAAAATAGGAAGCATTATGCTAGAATTAAGGTATCTGGAAGGCTGACACGGAAATGCAACACCTCAGATATTTTGTGGTAACGTACTAGTTTTTCCTTGGTGTTAACCAAGCTTTTATAGAAAACCTTCATATATGCTTGGAAGCTATCAACTTTTATTTTAAAAGCACCCGTTCATAAAACCTCCATATAGCTATCAAGTTATTCATTAAGTCTTACTTATAAAAAAATGGAGCAAAAGTGGGTATTGTTTTTATTGGCAATACAATACATGAGTTACTTAAACCTAAGCCCCTGATTTAAATTTTAAATGGCTGAACTTTAAACATGGTAAAAATGTTAGAAATTGATGGGCGAATCGGTGTTCTTGCTTTTTAATCTAAAAAATTTGTTGGTTAAATTAATGGAGATAATAATGGAATGGAGCAAAAGGACATCATCTGGCACCTTTCACAGCTACGGTTCTTTTATTTGACTATAAGAATAAGAAGAAGGGAAATCGTTCTGATAAAACAAAATTAAAGTAATGTGAATATCATAATAAAACCAATTAATGAGAATAAACAAGAAAGAAAAGCTAACTTCGGACGAAGTCGAAGTTTATATACCCTTGCAGTTGAAATGGATATACATATGTATATCGCAAACATCGGATATAGTTTTTATTTATTACAATTTATTAGAATAAAAAATATCTATTATATATTATACATATATCTTTAATATATCTAAGATTATATATCTAAGTCGCTTATATCTTCAAAAATGCCAATTTGGTATGTCGTATCCGTACTCACTAACCGATCAATCATTTATATTGAATCTATAGGATATAGTCGACTTGTACAGCGTGGAATGAAAAGAAAGGCGTGTGCAATGTTTCAAGTCAAAGGCCTTGAAACTGAGAGACTAGTTCGCCTAGAAACAGACCGCCAGACGGACATACTCGTATCAACTCATCTTATAGCTGCGGAGTCCGCAGACTCGAGCTCCCGGAACGTACACACCTAGCCAGATTCGCAGACGACATTGCAGTAGTTGTTGTCGCCAAGACAATCCTGGAAGTCGAGGAGTCCTGTAATGCTGCAATTGCGTCATCGGTTGGCTCAACCAGGCAGGGCTAATCCTAGTCCACCACAAGACGGAGGCTGTCCTGATCTCAAGGAGGAAGCGGGTAGAGCCGGCCACGATCAATGTAAGCAGATACGCGGTCGCATTAACCAGGACCATCAGGTACCTGGGAGTCAGCCTGTAGGGGCCCGAAGCAAGGACGCAGACTACTGCTCCAGACCGTCTCCAGCTCAACGATGTTCGAAGCCCCCGTGTTGCGACGTAGCCCCCGTGTAGACAGATGCAGCTAAAACAAGCCACCAAGGGATTGACCATCACTTAAAGACTATGCGACTTAAGGGTGTGCTCGGGCTTCCGCACGATCTCGGATGTCGCAGCCTGACACAGCATGGTTCCAATCGACCTTCTCGCGGCGGAGCGGCAAGAACTATACCAGGCTCTAGTAGCGTTGAGAGGGCAAGCTCCGACAGCGACACGCCGTCGGCTTAAAGCGAGCTCGAGAGCAACGAGCATCCAGAAGTGGCAACGACGTTGTGACGAGTCTGGGACCCACCTTGATAAATGGATCCAAAGAAGTCACGGGGAGGTAAATATTTCGCTCACGCAGTTTATCAGCGTCCACGGTTGCTTCAGGAGCTACCTTTTCAAATTTGGACACGATGACGACCCAAGGTGCCCTGAATGGGGGGTAGGCGAAACGGCGAAGCATGTGGTCTTGGACTGCCCATGCTTTTTAGTCCCCAGGCGGAGACTCCTAGGGGAAATAGCGACGGCGAACCTCATTAGGAGGAAGTTGCTGGAGGACGCCCAGTCCTGGGCAGGCATGAGCAGCTTTGCCGCCTCAACAATGAAGGAGCTGAGACGGCTTGAGAGAATCCGAGCGGAGGCTAGGCTGACCTTGGCAAGCATCAGTAGTTGGGCGTTAAAGCACGCCAATCCTGGCCCTGCGAAGCAAAGCCTAGAGGCATTACCGCAGGGGACAGGGACTTAGGAAGCGCTTTATTGTTAGCTCTTAGTTTTAAGTTTTGTTAATAAACGATTAAAAAAACTCATATCAACTCAGGAGGTGGTCAAATACCTCAGGAGGTTTTCTATACCAATATAACTTTTGACCAATATTATAATATCCTGCAAGGGTATAAAAATATTTATTTGTTTAAAACTTTAATGTTTAAGCCCCCAAATAAACAAAGGAAAAAAATAAATAATTTAATGGTTTAAATTAGGCAGTGGTTTTTGTAAAATAATCCAAAAATGTGAGGCAAACTTTTTGTAATGGTTATAATAAAAAAATGTACGTAATACAATATTTTTAAATCACTAGTTTCACTATAAATCTTTATATCTCGAAGATCTCGAATCAAGGTCTGTTGAGTAGTTTAAAATATATCGTCTCAACCGATTTTTATACCATTGCAGAGGGTATTATAATTTTGTCCAAAAGTTTGTCCTCCGACCCTATAAAGTATATATATTCTTGATCAGGATCACCTCCTGAGTTGATATGAGCATGTCCGTCTGTCCGTCTGTCTGTCCGTCTGTCTGTCCGTCTGTCTGTCCGTCTGTCTGTCCGTTTCTACGCGAACTAGTCTCCCAGTTTTAAAGCTATCGTCTTGAAACTTTGCACACACCCTTCTTTTCTTTGCACGCAGTATATAAGTCGGAACGGCCCGGATCGGCCGACTATATCCTATAGCTGCCATATAACTGATTGATCGGAAATGGTATAACTTTGACGTTTTTAAAGTTACAGAGTTCAAATTTGACATGAGAGCATTTTTTGGCAAAACATTACGATATGCCAAATTTCATAAGGATCGGCCGACTATATCCTATAGCTGCTATATAACTGAACGATCGGAAATGACCCAACTTTCGTGTTTTTAAAGATAGAAAGGTGGAATTTAGTACAGATTCTATTTTTGGTCAGTTGATCCAACCTACCAAATTTCATTAGGATCGGCCGACTATATCGTATAGCTGCCATATAACTGAACGATCGGAAATGACCCAACTTTTGTGTTTTTGAAGATAGAAGTTTGGGACATTTTTAGGTTTGGTTTTTGTATTATAATAAATTGGGTTATATTATCATATTCTCATAAGGATCGGTCAACTATATCCGATGTTTGCGATATATATCCGGTTTTAACTGCAAGGGTATATAAACTTCGGCTCCGCCCGAAGTTAGCTTTCATTTCTTGTTTAAACATAGTTTTGAGAAAAACTCTTTTGGGTTGAATAGTGAGTGACCTAAATTGCGAAAAGAGCACAGATTTTGACTATATTTTTTTGACTTTTTGACTTAATTCCCGAAAGTTGTACTCTGAGAACCTTAAAATATTGGGACAACATTCTGGAAATATGTATTTAGTTGCTTAAGACACAAAACTACGTTTTTTGAAACCGTGAAGCTACATGGCTACGTGGCTTTCCTTCCCCCTACCCTTTACATTATTATGTACCCCTTACATTAGTATGCATATAATGCATGCATTTGCATATAATATATTTATATATTATATATAAATATAATATTCCAACACGCAAAAAAGATGTGGTAAACACATCTACAAATATTATGTAACAGCGAATCTTTTTCAGGCTGGATCGATTGCTGGCAGCTAGTCGCATCCAAATATATTTTACTCATATAGATCTGGAACTTCTTTGCCTGTGTATGTCCTGAAAAAATTCACAAAAGTTGCATTATTCAGAACATTCCAGAGTATGTTTCTCTACATAAATCCATTCTAAATTCATTATTGGAAAACCAATTTCTGGACGTTTATTTATTTTTTCAAGTAATCTAAAATATGTAATACATGAAATATAATGTTTTTTTTCATATTTATTTTCATATTTTCGCATAATATTTGGACGATAAAAATAGATGCCAATAAAAATTTGCGTCAATTTTACACGAAAATAAGAAAACATGCGATTTTTGAGATCTAGTGATAAAGATCTTCTGTTCTTAATTTATTGAATTTATGAAATTAATATTCTGACTTTTTAATGATACTCTTGAACTATCATTTTTTATTATTATTTATTATTTTAAAGTTTCTTTAAAAACTATTAAAGATTGAAAAAGGCTGCCCATTCCAGATACTACGTCCAAAAAGAAAGAGACAGAGAATAAGAAGACGAAGAGTTTATATTTTTATTTAATCTATAAAATTATTAAAATTTACATTTCAAATCAAAATTTAAATGTTTAAAATTTGATTATTATTTCAGTGAATTAAAATTCATAATTTTATATTTTTATAAATACTTCCCAGAACTTTTATATAGACATAAATGAAATTTCTTAAACTTTAACTTCTATGTAAAGACATAACAAAACATAAATTAAGTCTTGTGGGTAAGAAGAAACCATAAACCATTCCATATAGTACCAATTAATAACCATATTTCTTTAAAGTTCTTTATAGTTTAAACTTCCCGCTCAAAAAAACGAACTATTGTAGTGATAACACATATGCACGTTGGCTAGTGGTGTGCACGCAGAGCGAACGGCTCGGCAAAGCTATCGATAAATGGGATCTGCCACCACTAACCGCCTGTGTTTTGTGTGGGGGCGAAAGCGTGTTGCCCCGTTTTCCTTACAATTCCCCATTCTTGGATATAACATGAATGATTTGAACCTGCGAGTGGCTGCTCTGAAGCTATGTGCCCATCCCAAGCGTTTTGCGGAGCTCCGAGATGCTTTGGTGCCACTACCAGAGCGGTGGAGTTCAGGTGAAGATCACAATCGATCACTCGATTTAAAAATAATAAATTAAATTTATTCATTTTTAGATTCCCACGAATTTGTGAGCCTATTTGCAAAGGCCCAGAGCAGTGCCGAACAGGTCCTGGCGGTTAAGGAGCTATTTTACAAGGACAAGGATCTGCATCTGGAGAAGATTCCCCTGGTGGAGCTCTTTCTGGCCGATCTTCTGTTTGCTAGTCCATTGAAGCACGCCGTGCGGAATCAATTGACAAGGTTTCTATTGAGATTTGACCAAACTGTTGCCTTATACAGCGATAATAATCCCTAATCCCTTCCAGACTCTTCTCGGACAAAGCCTTGGCCAAAAAGGTCCAAAACGTGGAACATGGCCACACAAAGGACTCCCTACTGAAGGCCCTTCTGCAGGCTCTCAAGGACCTGATTGGCACGGACCTAGAGCTGAGGAGCCACGACTCTATCAATGACATCTTCGTTTCCGCCAACGCCTGTCTCCAGAACTTTCCATATGGGCACGAAATTCTTGGCGAATCCTTGGAATTATTAATCCCACTTCTTCCCCTGGGCTTGGAGCGTTATTGGAAAGATATTAGGTAAGTTTGGAAACCCGGAATTGGCACTTTCCCCAAAACTCTTGCATTTAACATAATTTTACAGTGATACCTCGGTAGAACTGTCACCCACGCGTCGCAATGAGCTGTACCTCTACCTCCAGAATGTCCTGCGCTTCCTGGTTAGCCTGCTTTCCGAGTGGAGCTCGGATCTTGGCCAGGAATCCTGTCAAGCTTTGCTGAGAAGAGCGGATGCCATTGCCCAGAAGGTGGCCCGCCACGTGGACACACCCTGGGACGTCCGTTCCATAGCTGGACTGTTGATCGGCCACCTGGCGCGTCTCTCTGGCGGTTTTTCCGGCTACCTGCAACATTGTGCCCGTGCCGAGGCAGAGCCCCGGGATCTGCCCATCCAGACGGCTGCTCTGCTGGTGCTTCAGCCTTTAGATTACCCGGAACACGCTCCCGTTGTCCTGTCCATACTCCAGGCCGTCCTGGCAGTCGGTCAGCGGGAGGGGAACGTGAGCAACCTGCTCGTCTATCTCTCCAAGCACTTGTTCATCTACTCCAAGTCCTTGGGGGATGTTGAGGCCGGGTTCTACCAAAGCATCCTGCCGGAGTTGCAGGGATTCGCGCTACAGCACCTAGCCAGTCCCACGGACTCGGTGCGGCACATGTCCAGTGGCCTGTTCCGCCAGACTCTGCAGCACGCCCAGGCCGCTGGGCAGGTGGAGCTCTTCCAGGTCGTCTACAAGCAGTTCGAGGAGCGCAGTGCTTCCCTGGGAGCCAGCTGCCTCGCGCTGGAACATCTCGTGGGTGTGGTGGGCGTGGCAGAGGCCCTAAATCAGTGCCCGTCGCTGGTGAAAGAAATCTTTCCCAGATTCCTGGGCCTTGAGGATAGCGTGGACTCACTTTTCAGAGGTAATGTGTGGTACTTAATTTCAGAGACGGATTTTGATCCAATTCCCTCGTTAATCCCTTCTAGCCATGATGGTGGCAGCTCACAAAGCCCAAACCTTCGAGGACTGGCATCGTCTGTGGTTCACGCAGCTCTTGGAGGCTCTCCAGGTACCCGAAAAACGGCGCTCGGCCGTGGAGCACCTGATGACCCAGGCCGTGCAGCTGGAGCCAACGGCTCTGGTGAACCTGCTCCTGAAGGACGGTCATCTGCCCCTAAGTAGCAAGCTGGCAGCCATCCTGAGTGTGCGGCAACTCAGCAAGCGGCGCCAGGAGTTCCTTTCTAGTCTGAAGCCCGAGCTGGAGCAGGCTCTGCTGGGATTGGACGACCACACGCGACTGCTGGCCCTGCGCTTCGTGGTGGAGACGCCGCGACCGAGTGACCCCTTAAGCCGGGAAGAGGCGGAGGCCATCAAGCTGTACCTGAAGCACAATGCCAACAATCCCAGCGCCCACCTCCGGCAGCTAGGCTACGGCCTCCTGCAGAAGGCTCTGCAAAGGATTCGCTTGGGTCTGGCTGAGCACCAGAAGCGCCCCAGTCCTGCTGGGAAGCTGCTCCGGGACCTACTCTTAGGCCTGATGCAGTTGCTCGCCCGGAACCTCTTCCCTTCGGCGAACTACGGGAGACGATGGCTGTCGCTGCACTTGCTCCGCGACTGCGTGGATCTCTGCCGCCAGTTGGAGCTGAGGGAGTGGGAGGAAGAGCTGCCATCAGTTGCCTTAAGGAACCTGGAGCTCTGCCTGGGCGACAGCTACGAACAAAACAAAGTCCTGGTCGCTCGGCTCCTGGAGAAACTGCAAGCCAAGTCTGATCTGAATCCAGTGGAGATAATGGAACTCCTGCTATCTCTGAGGCCTCCAGACTCGGTGACAGGAGCCTTCCAGCTCCAAGTCTACTGCCGCGTTCAGGAAGTATCAGAGGAACTGCCTGCAGCTCAACTTCCGGAGGATATCAGCCAAGAAACCAGGATCTATGCAGCTCTCCAGTGGTGCTTGGAGCATTTAAGAGAAGGACTTAGTCTCGCACAAAAGGACCTGGCCCAGGCGGCCAAGCTAAACCCACTCTATGGGCTGCTCTTCGCCAGTCGGCACCTCCTCCAGCAGATGGACCTGAAGCAACTGGCCAAGGAACCGGCTTGGAGGCAGTACGTTCATGATCTGGTGGCGATCTGCCTCGAAGTGAGCCGAGTGGTCCTGCCAGTGGTGAGCAGCGCCTCGCCGGAGGGGCACCTACCGGAGACGCGCGACCAGGAGACGGACCAGCCACTCACCAATGTGCTTAGCCGGCGACTGGCTAGTGAGGCACTGCAGCAGGTGAAGACCACGCCGCAAATGGTGCTGCTGTGTGCCTGGCGGAGCATTAAGGAGGTGTCCCTGATCCTGGGCGAACTGGTGGAGCGGGCGCCGCTGGAGGAGGAGGAGAGGCAGAAGAAGCAGCAGAGTAATCCGGAAATCAGCTTTCTTTTGAGCAGTCAGCAGCTGGAGGAGATTGGAGAGCTATTCCTTCTTCTGCTGGCCGAAACCAAGCATAGGGGCGCTTTCGAGCAGGCCTACGTGGGCTTCCAGCTGCTGTGCCGACGGTTCTGGCACAGTGACGCCGTGCGTCTGAACCAGCTACCCAACCAGTGGGTCAGCGAGGCCATGTCGATGGTCAGTGGCGCCGGGGACAACGACCAGAAGGAACAAAAGACTCGCCTTTGCTCCACCCGGCGCAGTGCCGGAATGCCCTTCATGCTGCAAGCCCTGATCTGTACGGAATTGAAGCTTGGGACGCACGCCACACTCCACCGATGCATGCAGCGCCTCCTGGAAGTGTGTGAGGAGAGGAGCGCCACTCCCGCCGGCGTCACTGCCCGCAGCCACGCCCTCAACATCCTGCGCGCCCTCTTCCGGTGCAGCGAGCTGGCCGAGTTGGTCACCGAGTTCGTGGCCCGCGGCATTCGCTGCGCCCTGGAGAGCCTCCTGGCCGAGGAGTGGGCGGAGCGGAACTGTGCCACCCTCCTCCTTGCCGCCCTGGTGGTGCGGGTCTTCGGGGTGGAGCGCGCCCGCCTCGAGTCTGGAGAGCTTCATGTCCGCAACCGGATGACGGGCAGGATATTCTTCACCAGGTATCCGGAGCTCTTCGACTACTTCCACGCCGGATTGCAGCGCGAGGCGGATCAGATGGCAGGCAGGAAAGGCGGGCAGAGTGGAGGCAACGAGAAGCGCCGTCAGACCGTCCAGCTGGAGGCCATGCTGCTCATGCTGAGTCGTCTCTATCCTTCGTCCTTGGAGGGAGCCGAGTCCTCGTTGAATGTGAGTTTTCTCTTCAGTTTTTATATCTTTGCAGGATATTGTAGTTTCTTTGAAATTGTGCTACGCCGACCCTTCCAAGTATATATATTTTCAATCAGGATGCTCTCCTGTAGTCAGTCTGTCCATCAGACCAACTCTCTGTTTCAGCGCCAACGAGTCCCTCCGTTGGAAATACTCCAAACTTGGCACAAACCCTACTTTCCTTTCGAGAAGTTCACGATCGAGAAGGCCTTAACTTTCTTGATTTTTTATCCGATCTATCAGGTTTTGTGGTTTATATCCGATGCATTATACATGTATCTTCCAAAAGAATCCTCAATTTATTTACAAGGGTTTTACTTTTTTTGTTTAAAACCATTATATAACCCATTTTTTCAACAGGGTTTAACTAATGATACAATTAATATTGGAGGCTCACCGATAAAATGCATTCCATGTCAGATTCAAAGTCGAACAGTATTGACTAATACTGTTGTTATAGTTATAGTGTTGTAATAGTTTTAGTTTAGATCTCTTTCCATCCATAGATCTCTTTTTATCCGACCCTTTCATAGATCTCTTTCTATCCGCCTTCTACATTTTTACATTCTTCATTCCTTCCAGCTCAGCAAGTTTGTTCCTTTCCTGCTAAAAATCTGCCGTTCTCATGACCTGATGACCCGCGAGAGAGCCGCCCTGGTGGTGGCCAACTTCGTTAGCCAGGATCAGGCTCTGGCCGAGATCAGGCGCATTGTGGTGGGGTTGAAAGCGCTGCAGCTAAAGTTGAAGGTGAGTTTCTGATCCTCCCATCCTTAACCATGTAACTCACGACTGCCTACCGTTTCTCCCAAACAGCTTCAGAAACCCTTACATTTCAATGGAAACCACTGGCATGGCCAGCTGCTCCTGCTCCTTCAGATGCAGCGGTTGGTGCGGTGGACGAGTCCTTCCCTGGCCAGGATGCAACTGCACACACTAGCCTCCTTGGCAGCTCCCTTCCTTCAGCTCAACGCCTGTGTTTTTGGCGCGCTGCTGGATGTGATGGCCGTTGTCCTCGAGGAGGCCACCCAACTAGATGGGTGTCTCCTTAAAGCCCTTTCTGTCGTCTTGGAGTTGGATCAAGGAGACATATCAAGGCGGTGTGGCGAGCAGGGAATCTCCACTAGGTGCTATCAAGTGGTCTGCCTGCACTTGCGACGCTTAGGTGGCAACACAGAGGCTTTGGTACAACACTTGGAGGAACTGGGAGAGGATTACTCCCGCTCGGGCGCCTTGGCTGTGGAACTTTGGCTCTATGTACTCCTGCAGCGCTCCCAGGACGCTGACCAGGAAGTAGATCACTTCAACTTTGCCAGCGACACGAGGAAGTACTTCAACGCCCTTAGCCCTGGCCAGCGCCAGGAGGTCACGCTTCGGTTGTACGAGTCCCAGAGAGTACGCTCATGCGTCCTGAAAATGGTGGAGTCACCCAGGTGTTGGGGTCTCGAGCTGGATGCTCGTCTTACTGCCCTGCAGCCCCTGCTTCGGGATCCGGGGCTGGATCTGGAAAAGCTGCTCCAGCGCTGCAAGGACACTAGCTTCAGCTGGCAGCATCCGGGACTGGTGTTGTCCCTGAAACGGCTGATCGAAGAAAAGAGGAGGCTGGAGTGGTCCAGCTGGCTGCCCATCCTGGAGTACGCCTTGCGCCTGGTGGACCCCGTCCAGCCGAACTACCTTCGCTTTCAGGCCGCCGAGCTGTGTCACCTGCTGGGCCAAAGCGGAGTTAAGAGTGTGATCGGCAGCTCCAATGCGGACATCGTTGGCAGCTTTATCCGACTCGTGCTCCTCCTTCTGTTGGACGAGGCCGAGTGGGTGCGCCATCGAGCTGCCCTATTGGTGGTGGAACAGTCTGGGGATGACAAGGTTATCCTGCCCAGCGTCCTCATTCCCAGATTCCTCAAGTCCATGCTGCGGAATGTGCGGGAAACTGCTCCCGACTCCGAGTTTGTGACGCGCCTGTTTCAATTGATTTCAGAGCCTTTTGTGGCCTCCAAGGATAACGAGGAGCAGGCTCCGGATTTGGACGCGGAGGTGGAAGTGTTTGACAAGCAAGAAATCAATCTGTATTGCGAGTCCTTGCTGGTCCTCTGCCAGGTGGCCGTTGCTTTTAGAGAGAACTTCGCCGCATGCCAAACAGTCATGAATACCATCGATTCCTTGGGCTTGCCCGCCGACTTGGTGGATTAGTCGCCAGATTACCTCATCTTTAAGGAGATACTTAGCCGTTGTAGATACAATTTTGTTGTAACCTTAATAAATATTTAATATTTAAGAATAAAGAATAAATAAAAAGACAATAAAATTAATTTTTATAAAGCCGCAAGAGCCAATGTGACTAGATACCTCTGCGTTCGGAAGTTAAAAAATCAATGAAATGTTTATGAAAAATCAAATTGTTAAAAACTCAAAATTGTTAAAAGCTCAGTTTAGTTCAATTAGGAAGAAAATCCCTGTGGAAGGCAGCCCAAAAGGTGATGAAACCTATGCCTTAGCGTGTGCAAAGAGACACTATATATAGACGAAGACATACAAATTTTTTGATGGGTTCGATAGGAATGAGAATTATATCAATGAAAGGTATTGTTTTAATTAGATAATCTTCATTCAAACATTTGGCAAAAATCATTTAGTTTGGGAGGTATTCGAGTGAAAGTAGAGTACTTTGATTCGCTAAATTGGGGCTAGAGCATTGGAGGCTTCAGACATTTTTTTTCTTGAATAGGCGTAGATTAACAATCCCGACCCAAAGGTTTCGTTTAACAAGATACCCTATCAATCCACAGTAGTCCAGACGACCCCTGGCAATAATTATTAACTCAAGAACGAGACAATTATATATGTATATATTCATCTCTTCCACCCCATATTAACTAACCTGACGCAATCCACCACAGATCTAATCGTGAAGACCATTCCTGGTGGCATGGTCTACGTCGCCGAGACCCTCATCGACGACATTCTTCTGCCTTCCTACTCTACGCAGGACCGACTTTAATACTTGGATTAAGCCGAGGATGTCTCTTTCGCTTCCACGAAGGCCGTCTCTTTCGCTTCCAGGGACGTTCGCCTCTGTGGTCTGGAGCACATCCGCGTGCTGAAGTCGGTGATCAGTCGTCTCAACTGCAAGCCGATCATGGAGCGGCACTTGGGGGAGGACAGGGCGGTGAACCTGCCACTGGGGTCCCACGTTATTCGTTGCCACACCACCTTCATAACATAATACCCTCAAAGAAACCGATCGCTTGTTATAATAAGCCAAAACTCTAGAAGATAAGTTCGCCCCGCCCGGAAGCTCCTCCACTTAAACCTCAACTACTCAACAGTCTGGCCAACACCAGACCTAACCAAGTGCTACACCCCACTAGATGTTAGACACACAATAAACGGCACACTCGAAATCAATGACGAATGCATTTGGCTCTCACCTTTCGCACAGTTTTATTGCCGATCTATCTTTATATCTATATCTATATATGTATGTAAATTTCGCTTATTATTTTCTGGGTTTTGGGTGTTAATTGGTGATTGGGACTCCTTTTTTAAGACGATTTTAATTTAGATTAATGGGAAATCGGAGTTACATAGTTTAAAAAACATCAAGAATCTTTTTTTCGAAATATTTTGATAAATACTTAGACATCTTTACAATGATGTCCCAACACTTAAGTCGATCCGTGGAATTCTTTCTGAGATAGAGTTTAAGGGGTTACACAGTTGCGCGACCCAAAGGAACGCGTTTTTAGAATTTTCCTACAAGGACTATTTCTCTTGTGTTGTGTTACAATAATTATTTACCAAATTAAAAGTTAGCTAAAAACTTATTTTATGAAGACTATAATAAGGATGATCGGTTAGAAATATTTTATAATTTCCATTCTGTACACTTTGTAAGAGACATCCTCGAAAAATCCTCGAAAGATGCTTTGCAGTAATCTCGTTTTTGTTGGTTTGGAACTGAAAAACAAAATATTAATTTGCTAAAAATAAATTCCATCCAAGAAGATTGTGTAAACTTTTCTGACCGATTGAGTTATTAATTTTTAAGAAATCGAGGCCACCGAAGCATGGCTCTCTTGGTGGCACTCTGAAATCTTCTTACAACTTTAACTTACTTTAAAGTTTAATAGCTTTTTCTCAAAAACATTTTCAGAAAATGAAATTAACTATTGATACCTGTACTACTATAATATGCAGTTTCATGTCATATTCCATATCTTTCTATATTTATTATAGAAATAATAATAGTAACAAGAAAGGAAAGCTAACTTCGGGCGGAACCGAAGTTTATATACCCTTGCAGGTAAAACCGGATATATATCGCAAACATCGGATATAGTTGGCCGATCCTTATGGGAATAGGAATATATAATCCAATTTATTACAATACAAAATCTAAAAAAAAAGTCCCAAACTTCTATCTTCCAAAATACGAAAGTTGATATTTCTACCAAATACCATTTCCGATCGTTCAGTTATATGGCAGCTATAGGATATAGTCGGCCGATCCTAATGGAATTTGGTAGGTTGGATCAACTGACCAAAAATAGAATCTGTATTAAATTCCAGCTTTCTATCTTCAAAAACACGAAAGTTGGGTGATTTCCGATCGTTCAGTTATATGGCAGCTATAGGATATAGTCGGCCGATCCTTATGAAATTTGGCATGACGTAATGTTTTGCCAAAAATAGCTTTCATGTCAAATTTGAACTCTCTAACTCTAAAAACACCAAAGTTATACCATTTCCGATCAATCAGTTGTATGGCAGCTGTAGGATATAGTCGGCCGATCCGGGCCGTTCCAACTTATATACTGCGTGCAAAGAAAAGAAAGGTGTGTGCAAAGTTTCAAAACGATAGCTTTAAAACTGGGAGACTAGTTCGCGTAGAAACAGACAGACGGACAGACAGACGGACAGACGGACATGCTCATATCAACTCAGGAGGTGATCCTGATAAAGAATATATATACTTTATAGGGTCGGAGATGTCTCCTTCACTGCGTTGCACACTTTTGGACAAAATTATAATACCCTCTGCAAGGGTATAAAAAACGCTACAAACAGAAAACAAAAATTAATGGTCGCTAACGGAACGCTACAAATATTTTTATTGATTGTATTAAATATAATTCGATAAGATGCGATAAATCAGTTACATGGCAGAATATAGTCTGACGATCCCGGCCGTTTCGAATTCTATATGTATATACTAAGTGCATGGAAAAGAAGGATGTGTTATTAAGAATAATAGCAGTTAATATTATTTTTAATGATTTATTTCAATATGATTTAAATTTTTAATTTCGATTAGAGAGGCTATGTGTTTTGCGCAATGGTTTCGGTTATCCAACCCATATATTCAGCCACATCAGTATAGACCGCATACGGATTTTCGCCACATTTCTGAACTCCGTAACTCACGATTCCAGCCTGCACCCAGCGCTGTTTGCCATTGTATAAAGTGGGATAGTTCAGTGGTCCCCCGGAGTCACCACTGCAGCTATCTTTCCCCAAGCCACTGGCGCAGAGTTTTGTGCTCATTGGATTAAAGATGTTGCACTCGGTTAAGTTCAGCCGATTGATGAAAGCTTTTTTAGGGACGTCTGAGAGCTTTTCTTCTTCTGTTATGCCCCAGCCGACAACCTCCATCGGTATGTTGGTTTGACTCTCAAACTGAAGATCTTTTGTTATCGGCAGACATATGGGTCGTATCCAATCGGTAAACTGGACTGGGTATTTAAGGCGGATTAATGCAATATCTTTCACAGCTCTAAAACGTTCATATCCCTCGTGGACAAAACTCTTGTCGACTGGAACGTCCAGGGGTTTATCCAGACACACTGGCTCATCGTCAAAGCTTAAGCAGTCCTCGTCCTTACTAAGATCATGTTCTCCCAGACGGACGGATACCCTGGAAAAAAGGGTATTTTATAAGTAGGTGTGTTTTGTCTTGGGTTGAGCTCCTTTACTTACAGGGTATCTTCGATACAGTGCGCAGCCGTCAAGACAAATTCTGTCAAACAAAAAAATAAAATAAAGTGACATAGGATCAATGTTTTATAGAACTTACTCGAAGTGATCAGAGTGCCGCCACATTTAAACCGTGCCCTAATAGGCTGTGTCGTATTAAACTCGAGTATGGCCGCCCACGGCCGAGATCCCAGGCTAACATTGTTACCTCCTGAAACCTTAGGGTCTGAGAAAATACCGCATATTTCATCATTTTCTTTCAGCAAGTCTACTCCTTGAGCAAGATTTTCTCTAGGAGATGACTTGAGTTAGACTCTGTACTTTAAAGTCACGCGTTGCTTTAGTTACCTTTTCACATATTAAAACTGCTTTATTAAACCTTTGCTCCTCGTGGGTTAGGGGAATCCCTTTTTTCCGCTTTTGCACAATAGGCCTAAGAGCCGGGCAATCTTTAGGACGCCGGCATTTGCCTATTTTCTTGTCATGCGTCTCGCAGACTTTAGAATCCACAGGATCTATCCATTGCAGGCTCAGAGTTAGGCAAATCGCCAGAATTAAAAATTTCAAACTCAACATTCTTCCCGTAAGCTAGATTTGCGACTGAACGATCACTGAAGTCATTATATGCGACGAAGGCGTACCACTGATAATACATTATTAATCATAGAATTTCGTTTAACGAAATAAAATTAAAATAAATGTTTATAGTATGAGCATTGGGCATTGGTATGGGCATTTCCCCGGGTCGCGAACGTACTAAGTTCGTACGCAATTAGTGCCAAAAAATTAAAGTGCTAAAAAATTTTTTGATACTTTTTTTGGCTTTTGGTGAGTTTTTTTCTTATACTTGTTTTTAGATTTTTCATTTTCATAATATTGGCAAAAACGTAAAAACGTCGCGAACGTACGCGAAATGGACGTCGGTTTTGGCTTGCTCTAGCAAAATCAAAAAATCTGTAATATGTTTTGCCAAAAATAGCTCTCATGTCAAATTTGAACTCTCTAACTCTAAAAACACCAAAGTTATACCATTTCCGATCAATCAGTTATATGGCAGCTATAGGATATAGTCGGCCGATCCGGGCCGTTCCGACTTATATACTGCGTGCAAAGAAAAGAAGGGTGTGTGCAAAGTTTCAAGACGATAGCTTTAAAACTGGGAGACTAGTTCGCGTAGAAACAGACAGACGGACAGACAGACGGACAGACGGACATGCTCATATCAACTCAGGAGGTGATCCTCATCAAGAATATATATACTTTATAGGGTCGGAGATGTCTCCTTCACTGCGTTGCACACTTTTGACCAAAATTATAATACCCTCTGCAAGGGTATAAAAATAATAATATATATATTTATTATCTTTTGCCATTATTTTCTATAAAGCATCTGGATGGCGCGGTCAAAATATTATGTAGTAGTGGCAAAGAAAAGTTTTATTTAAATTAAATTTACTCTAATTTTCGTAATGTTCCTGAGGATGTTCTCCAAAAGTCTTTTCGTCTTTTAGATTATTCTTCCTTATCATTGGGTCCTGGCAATGTAGTAGGTGCCAAAAGCTGTCCTGCCGAGAGACGAAATGTTATTTAAAAGTTAATACAGGAAGGGGGAACTTAAGCGCAAGTGCAAAATATTATTCGTTGATCTCCTTCAGTAATTAAAAATAAAATACAAATATGAGCCAGCATATAAAAATACGAGCTCAACTTAAGACATGTCAAAAAGGACAGTGAACCATCTAGTGGAGCATGCGAAATGACAGTCAATTATGTCTTCTATCCCTTTAAAACCAACTTTAAAATTGATTCAAGTCTGGTGACAGATGGAAGACGACTTGACGACGAAAAAAATTTCATAGTCAAGCGCTTCACGTTCGGCAACGGGCATTCGAAATAGCCCATGAAAATATGGAAGAACATCCTGTGGTAGTATAAGTCCAAAATTGATTTTTTTGAGGCTGGGTGTCCTGGCAGTTTGTTACAAGACATACATAGTATAATTTTCCCCAAAACATATATTCAACCATTTTTTGGTCCAAATTGATTTGACCGAGTTTTTTATACTATTAGGTTCGACCATTTATTGGCTCAAAATCATCACTGATCGCTACCATTACTCAAAAATTTTAAGCGAAGTAATACTTTGGTGTTTTTAGAGGACATGACACTTTTTTGTCCGTTTGAAAAGGATGAAGAACTGAAGCCCACCAGTTTTTTGGGCAAAGAAAGGGTTTACCGACAACCGAAACAAGGTTATGGAATCGCCGCCACAGTCACCTAATCTCACCCCAATTGCGATATTTTGGTGTGAAGTGAAGAGACAAGTCCTAGAAACTTTGGACCAATTTTTAAAGGTCTGTAACGATTGCTACGGTAGTAATCATTTATGGGGAAGGGCTGGTGTTACGACTGGGAGCCAGCGCACGCTATGACATCCGGCTTCGGCTCGTCGGCAAGGGGGGTGTTATTTGCCAGTTCCCAGCAGTGGCCTCCACATTTAAGGATCTTTATTTTAAATTGCGTGCTCGCGACAAGACATGCTCCGGTAATGAGCCCCGAAATCCACCTATGGCTATGGAGCTTCTACCCTTCCTCGACTATCCCGCAGTCACCCAGGTGTTTTAGGGGCGACTCCTATTTGCCCACCCTACCTTAGGTCACTCAGCCCCGCTTCATGCGAGTGACCCCTTTTTCTTCCGGGTTCTCCTACATCCTTAAACTGCCGCTGCGGCTAAAATACTGAATTTAGAACATTATAAATTATTTATTGTACTAGACTAATAATGAACATCTTATAAAATAACCTCGAGCGCATAATTCAAATGACGGACAATATAAATTCGGAACTTACACCTATTTATCAGACTAATTTAGAAAATTAAATTAAAATTAAAAAGACATTTAGGGCGAAGTAACATTAAAGAATTAAAACAACAAATAAAAAGTATAAAAAAAAACAAAAGGAAACTAATTTTTGATATTCTGGTTGGACTAAATAGATATATATGTGCCATAAAATAAAATAATGCATAACATAGGTTTACTCACGATTGCCTCTTTAGCATCCCTCGTCGAAAGCGCTTTCGTCGGTGATGAAAGGGAAAGTTGGGGACATTACACAAAAATAATATTTTCTTCATAAACCTAAGTATCTTACATAAGATTTAATAAGGCATGGATCCATGGATTTTAGATGGATACGTAGGGTTTAAAAATTATCTATTAAAATCTTAGCATCAACCAGAAATTTTCCCTTTCTTTTTTTTTTTTTTCTCTGAATTCAAAAGTATTATAAATTGGTTTTTTTTCTTTCCTTGCTTTACATTAATTTAGCCTTTGCTATTTTAACATTTTTTTTCTCTGTGTTGTCGGGGACCAAAACATTCAGGGCACATTTCACTTATTTTTTTTTTTTTTCCTGGTGGGGCTGAGAATATACCTCACGCTATTTGACTGGGGAAAAACTTGGTGGTCAAACAATTATGATTTCTGACGCACCAGTATTAATATAATTTTCCACCAACCATCACTGAGCACCACACAAAAAAAAATTATGCCTTTTATGTTTTTTTTTTCCTTTTATCTGGCCTTGCCGCCGGTGCAACCGCCGGTTTACTCCCGCTCGGAGCCCCTCGTCGCGATGAACTAATGACCACTCTTCCCTCTTGTCCGATCGCTCGTTTGTCTCACAAACGAACTCGCGGGCGGTACCCGATCGAAAGTGCTGGTCGCTGCTCTATGCCCGGAGATGCTGATCTGCTGGTCCCACCGATGGCGCACCTTCCTGCCTAATGCGGCGCATAGGTGTCGCTTTCCGCTATGGCAAGTGCTACAGGTCCTGAGTCTTATTTACTGGCGAGAGATGCAAAAATTTGGTAGACTATTTGATAAAACGCTGTGAATTTGCTATATGGTAGCTAACAAAGGCGGTTCAAATAAATACTAAACAAATTTTTCAAAACTACTTTAAAATTATCATTTGTTTAACAAATTTTGGAAAATTTCTTTAGGCTAAAATATGTTTTGCAAACTTTCACTACTTTTATTTTGACCAATTAATTTTTTATCAAATTCAACATTTTTATTTTTTTCTTAAAAGTTTCTTGTGTGATCCCAAACGTTAAGGTATTATAAATATCTATGATTAGTTAGGTTTCGAATAAAATGTTAAATAATTTTCCGATAATTTTGCTCGATGCATCGATTTTTTTTTACATCACTAACGAATAGTCGGTCTCAGTAGATGGACGCCTGTGGTCAGTCCGAAACATACTGCGCTCTAATGCAGTGGTCGGCAGGGCCTTATTCCAGGGGCATAGTGTTTTTTGAGCATTTATTGGGGAAAATAAAAAACAAATGGCTTTAAACGTATCCGCATTAAACGTAACAATATGGCGAAAAAACACATAAAAAAACGTATTTTATTAACTAAGCCCACATAACTCTTTATAAGTTTCTTTTTAATATTCGGTAAGACCCTCGACGTGCTTCGATAACGGCCTGAAGACGCCTTGGTATGGATTTCACCTGATTTCGCAGCTCTCCATGCGTATTTCCTGCCGAGCTTCTTGAAGCTTCTCTTTAAGGACTGGAGCACTCATAATGTAATATTTTCGGACGGAGTTTGCAGCGCAATGTCTGACTTCCGGGTGCTATCAGAATATGCAAGTTTTTCAGCTTTACCTCTTGACTTCCGGCAAGATCGCCGCCATGAGGCCCATGGAAGTGTCATCCGATGCAAAAAATACCGACCATGGCCAGAGGAAACTTACTTCCCCTTCTCCGAAAAACTGACAAACGTGGCTTACTCGCATGGTAACATAATGGAATCGTACCTCATTTTCATAAAAACTTGAAACTTGAGTTCCTGAGATTGTTTAATTTGTTGTGCTTATCGAGGAGGGCTCTAAATTATCCATATTGCTCGCTCGTTTCGGTTTCGCGTCTTTAATAGCCCTTGCGATGCAAGTTCTAGTAGCTTCTGTAATTCGGCTAACTACATCGCCATCTCTCCCTACGCCATACATCCCTACGGTCAGACCATACTCAGCAGCAGAGTATGTCCTTCTCACTCGGCCGATGTGCGTTTATAGGACTGTGAGCGACAACGTGTCTCTTGTCGCTGTATAAACTTGTACAGTAGTCAATAACATACCGTAATCACATTTTGCGATTTTTTTGCCGAAAAACACTGGGTTTAAGGATCAAGGACCAATTCTCGTTGTT